GCTTTAATTTTTGCTCTAAGCAAACTGGGAAACTAATGCCCTTCACAACCTGGAGCCACTTTCACAAACCAGTACTAAACTTGTGTTTAAAAAAAACAAACAAAAACAAACAACAAAAACTAGCTATACTGCCAGTAGAGGAAACCTGGCTTAATGAAAGCCAATGCAGGCTTTATAGCAGCAATCAGACCCCCTCCCTCCCCCGCAAAGGTGATGGGTCTAGGAGGAGAGTAGCAGCTGGTGCAGTAGGTAGTAACTACATGTTCTCTGATGTTGGAGATTAAATGCAGGCAAGGATGGGCTGAAACTGTATTGGATAGCTTAGTTGACATTTGCTCCTCTCATCATCACATGCTGAGTGGAGACTCCACCCATAATCAAAGAGAGAGGAGCATCAAGGGGTTGGATTGGAAAGTTACAGTAAGCAAACAGCCCAAGAAAGCGAAAGGAAACTAAAGGGCATTTTGAAGAGAATCCATGGGAAGAGCTACAATTTCCTTCCAGTAAGGCAGGAAAAAATTAAACAAATGGAGCTTCGGTGTCAATTGTTGTGATTCCCTATAAATAAAAGGGCACCAAAACAACAACAGTACTCAACATTTTTCCAGCTCCTTCCATCTGGGATTTCCCCATAACTTACACTATTGAATGAAGCCAGCTTTACAGCACTTGTGAGATATACATTATGCCATTCTACAGAGGTAGAAACAGAGGCACAGAGATTAGGTAACTTGCCACTGGAAGTCTGAACTCCCAGTTCTGTGTCTTAGGCTCAAGATGCTACAAATCAAAAACCCAGCAAGAGGACATGTGGAGTTGGAGTAGTTATTAAGTTCTTATAGCACCTTCCAACTAGAGGAGGAAAAAATAGCACAGCCACACAACACAGTGGTTTTAATCCCTCTTTTATAGACAAGGAAATGGAGGCAAAGAGAAGTTATGTGACTTACTCAAGGTCACACATGGCAGAAATAGAGCCCAGATCTACTGTCCCCGTGCTGTGCTTTAACCAGTGTGAAGATGCACTGTATGCACAGTAGTACTAATTGTAATGATTTATACAGAATTTATCCCCATAGCTGCTAGGCACTAAGCCACCCACAACAGGCAGCATTGCAGAACCACTGCTGTTGATTATAGAAGTATCAGCACAACCATCTTTCCATTTGTCAGAAATTTAAGAAAGAAAATAAGTAAAAGCATCTTGCATCATACTCTAAAGTTTGCTCTATTTGAACTGCCTAGGGAAGAGGATTCCAAGGATAAGGGGTCTTTAATTAAGAAGGCCCTGATGACAATGCACAGGTCTTCCAGCCAATCTGAACTGCTGGGATGGTTCAAGAGATGGTCACTCAGACAGCCTGTCCTTGTCCATTCAGGGCCCTACCAACACTTTGCATTGCTTCTGGAAGTGCAGGAAGTCCATGCAAAGACCTGACCACATGTTCACAGACACTTGCAGGAGACAAGCAGTTGTTTTGCCCCATAAGAATGGCCATACTGGATCAGACCAATGGACCACCTAACCCAGTATCCTGTCTTCCAAACGCAGCCAGTGCCAAATGCTTCAGAGGGAATGAACAGAACAGCACAATTTCAAGGGATCCATCCCCTGTTGTCCACTCCCAACTTCTGGCAGTTGGAGGTTTAGGGACACCCTGAGCATAGGGCTGTGTCCCTGACCATCTTGGCTAATAGTCATTAACAAGTCCATGAACTTCTCTAGTTCTTTTCTGAACCCACCAACAGCACTAAAACCATGCTATGAGCCAGCTTGTACTCAGGAAGCCATTATGCAATGCCAGAAAGCTTGCCAGTGACCACCCCATCTCCAACCTCCACTTCCTGGGTAAATTGTTACCATCGGAGCTAGTCAACTTCAGCCAACTGCGACAACTTACATAGACCCCTTCTAATCTGGCTTCAGACTAGGGTTTGACATGCAACAGCATTAAACCATGCTTAGCCTAAAACCGTATCTCCTTAGCCTAAAACCGGTCCAAATATCCATCTAGTGCTGTTATTTATTAGCAGCATGCATGGGACTGATCAAGAGATGCTACTAACCTGCCTGTAGTGCCTAGAAGAGGTGAAGAGTCTTGTTAAACTGGCTTTGATCTTTCCTATGAAAGATCAGAGGACTGCAATGGGACCCTTTTCCTCCTCATGAAAGGTCCCCTCTTTGGGGTTCTTCAAGGCTCATGTCTGTCACTTCTCTTATTCAGCACATAAAAGCACTGAGAGATCATCCGCAGATGTGGACTGCACTGTCACCAACATGTTGATGACACCCAGCTGTATGTTTGTACACTTGTGTTAGAAAAGGAGTCTCCTGTTACAAATCAGAAAGAAATAAGAGTGCATGTGGAAGACACCTGCTTCAGCTTAGTCCTGATCAAAAAGAAGTGAAGCTGGTGAGAAGGGAGTAGTAATTAGAGGTGAGGTTCTCAAACTGGATTGGTCTGCAGAATTAATTATTTTACAACCCAAGCAGTAGAAAGATAGGTACTCTCAGACCCTGCACCCTCATAAAGCGACCTCAGAGTGAAAAAGCCTGGAGAAACCTTCACTTAGGGAAACTGATAGGAAGTGTGATACCACCCTCTACTGAGATTTTCTGTTCTCAGATTGCCAAGATGACTTCAAACTTTCAGGTTATGGTTGATTCTTTTTTCCTTATGGATGTCCACATAACAATAACTATTAGAAACACCTTCTTTTACTTTCACCAGGTGAAGGAACTCTGCCCCTTTTCCAAGTACTGCGCTAGCACCAGAGCTCCTTATTTTCCTTCCCATCCCAAGGTTTGATTATTACAATACCCTGTCATTATTCAGAAGGCCAACAGCAAACCAAACAGTTCAACTTGTGTCACCCCAATTGCTAAGTGGAGAGAGGTGATGACAGCACAAAACATCGGTGTTTTATAACTTACTCTGATTTACAAGCCTAATTTCAGATTCAGAGTCTTGGCCCTTGTCTTCCTAACTCATTTAGGATTTTGATCAGGCTATCTCAGAAACCACCTCTTTTGCGATCTTTCTCTGAGAATACTATGAATGATGGAGCACAAGTGTGAACCTGAAGGATTTTCTAAGCAACAGGCCTCTTAGGAAATTCACCATCCCATGATCAAACTGAGCCCAAGGTCTCCAACCTTCAAATCGCAGTGCAAGATTCTTTTCTTTGGGTAGGCATTTTCCTAACAGCCAAACTGTGGTGCAGCCCAACCAATCAACTGTCCAGATACTGTTACTGTATGGAGTGCTTTAAAGTACAATATAGAGCAAAAGAGAGGGGGGGCTTTTAGTGGCAGGATGAACTTGCCCAGCACTGAGACGTCTCCAAGTTTAAGGAATTAACTCACTGAAGAGTCGCTGTTGTCCACCCCTGCAGGATTTCACAGGCAGTTACCACCATTAGATCAATGGTTCATCAAAAAGTTGCTGATGGAACCAATATTAACAACCAGTTGAGTTTTTTCCATCAGTAGGAGGAAATCAACAACTGATGTCACTGCAGTCTGTTCTATACCCAGAAAAAGGGATCAAGAAAATCTACAGACTCAGAATATAGCTGGAATTGTCTCATAATTACCTTGATAACCTTCCTATCCACCTCCATCCCCCAAAAGGAAGTTAGAGACAGAGCAGTATTTGGCAAAAATTATTTTTTGGGGTTTTTTGTTTTTGTTTGTTTGACATACATACACACACACACACGATGATCAAAGGTCTAACCCGTGTTGCTGTGTGTGCTTGGCAGCTTGCCCTCTCAAGAGAGGCATTAACAACTGCAGCCAGTATCTGTCTCCCACCCCAAAGGGTAGTTCCTCTTCTTTTATGGGGGAGCCTCCATGATGCAAATTGGGCAGTAAGCCCTTTGCCCATGCAGATTGGGCTCTGTCCCCTGCCAAGTCAACAGTGGCTCATACCTGCCAAAGAGCAAGGTGGGACAGCCCTTTCTGTTAAGTAAGTAGGGACTAGGCCCAGAGATGCCCCATCTGCTTCCTCCCAGGCCTGGTACCCACATCTCATACTTAACTATTGCTTCCAACAGCTGCTCCAGGCCATCCCCATGCTCAGGTGTCACCTTCAGCTGCCCACACAGACTCCACCATATCCAGAGATTCCACCATATCAACAGACTAACATCCAAAGCAAGTCGACAGCCTCCCTAACTTCCACAGATCCCCAACTCTAGAAGACAGACCCTTAACTCCCCCACCCCACAAAAAAAAAAAAAAAATCCCACACACCACCCATACTCTAATCCCCGGGTTCTCAAACTGGAGGTCAGGACCCCTCAAGGGGTCACTAGGTTATTACATGGGGGGTCATGAGCGGTCAGCCTCCACCCCAAACCCCACTGTGCCTCCAGCATTTATAAAGGTGTTAAATATATAAAAAAAAGTGTTTTTAATTTATAAGGGGCACTCAGAGGCTTGCTATCTGAAAGGGGTCACCAGTACAAAAGTTTGAGAACCACTGAGGTAATCACTGTCCCCAGCAGCCACCCAGCCTGACCACAGCCCCACCTCTGCCACCACAACTGGGAGAGACCAGCCGCAAGTGCCAGCCCCCGAGGCAGCAGGGTACAGCATCAGGTGGGTACGTTATCCATTGCCAGGGCAGGGACGGGCGCTGCTCAGATGGGAGCTGTCTCTCTGCCCACGTCCCGCACAGGGCACCTGACTTCTTGGACTGCGAGCGACAAGACCTTGCTTGGGGTGTACAGCGCCTGGCACGCCGGGGCCAGGCACTACTGAACCAGTCCCTTCTCTAGCCCCAGTGCCCGAGCCCAAGGCCCCTTCCCGCCCCCAGCCCATGCCGGCCCCTCCCCCAGCCAACGTCCCGCCGCCCCACTCCCAGCCGGTGTCCCGGCCCGGCCCCTCCCCGTTCTCAACCCCCAGCCAGGATCCCAGCCCCCTCTCCCCTTCCATCCCTGCCCGGCTCCGCTGCTGGCCCCCCGCCCGTGTCCCGGCGCCGCCCCGCACTCACATCTGATACTCGTCTATCGCCTCCACCAGCTGCCCCCACGAGTCGAAGTCCGTTCCCTTCCTGAAGCTGGCGCCCCAGCGCTGCAGGAGGCTCCGAGCCGCCTCCGACATGGCCCCCGCACTAGGGCAGCATGCTCAGCCCGGGGCCGGCCATCACACGGGCGAGCCGCTCCCTCCAGCCCAGCAGCAGCACCAGCCGCCGACCAAGCCCATTTGCGGCTTCAACCGAACCTGGCGGCCGCCTCCACTCAGCCCCGCCCCCTCCCAGCGAGCTAGTCTGCGCCGGCCACACCCTCGGCCCCGACGGGCGGGTGCCGTTGCTAGCGAAGCAACCTCGCCCTGGCCCACGGCTCCAGGAAGACGGCGCAGACCCTTCCGCCTCGGTGCGTGTCATGGGACGGGAGGTCACGGGGTCAGCAGGCAACTCAGCTTGTCCCGGCCGGGCCTCAAGTTTGGTGCCTGGTTGCTGGTAGCAGCGTCCTGCACCGTTCCTCTGAGCGGGGCTGCTCCAGCTCTTCCTGTGCGGGAACTCCCCAGTGCCAGGTGAGCGGCCGGTGCCTCCCCACAGCTCCCGCAGCCTTCGCTGGGGTTGGCCTGCGCCTTTAGGCAGTAAGAGCCACCCCAGCTCCCAGTGCTGCGCAGAGCAAGGGTTGCGTTGGGGTGGGTATGGGGGGAAGTGTCCTGTGTATGTGAGTCGGGGGCTGTTCGTTGCTATTAGAGGGCGAGTCTCCTTGCAGTAGGAAACCAGTCTCCTCGCTGTCATTTTCTCCCTTTGTTTCCACGCTACAGGGGAATGTATTTAATAACCCTCGTTTCACACACTCCCCTTTCCTCACTAGGGGTCTATTTTCAGGCTGTGTTTAGACTCCTCTCTTGAGACAGGTGTGTTTCCCTGCCTGCACTTCGGAGACCCACTAGGCTTTCCCAGATCTAAGTATATTTTAGTGTATCAGAGGAGTAGCCGAGTTAGTCTGGTTCTGTAAAAAGCAACAGAGTGTCCTGTGGCACCTTTAAGACTAACAGATGTATTGGAGCATAAGCTTTCGTGGGTGAATACCCACTTCGTCGGATGCATTCACCCACAAAAGCTTATGCTCCAATACATCTGTTAGTCTTAAAGGTGCCACAGGACTCTCTGTTGCTATGTATATTTTAGTTGTTAAAGGTCTCAATCAGACTGCCCCCATAGGCCGATACAGTTGCTCCCCCAGGATGTCATGAGGAGCAAACACTACGTGCTAAGGAGTCTTCCCTTAAGTGGTCCCTGAAGGGTGGGACTGACTAGGAGAACCAATCGAGCCGTGTTTTATGCGCTTATCTGTAGTGCTAGAGAGGGAACGGTTCAGACTAGCTGGTCTGGGTGAAGGTGTTGTACTTGTCAAGTCTTGCTTGGAACTAGTGCAATTGTAATAATAATCGGAGGCCATCTGTGTGGAGGAGGAGGAGCATTCCAGGCGCATACACCTGGTGGGAGTACTAACCGAGTATAAATATCACCTACACGGGGACTAAAACTCGGAACATTGTGCCTGGATAGATGTTAAGGATGTGGGTGGATGCAAGATTTCTGAATTTGATGGGGGTTACACGTTATTAACGTATCCTGTTTGAAGGGAGCAGCACTTTTGGGAAACAATGAGATCTGCTTTCTTTTCCTTCGGACTGGCTGCGCATTAGCCGTAATGGGAGGCTCAAGTCAGGACTTGAACTTGTCATCAAATCAGTCTCCTAACAGCATCCTCTGGGGCTCGAGTGGGGGGGACCAGTTTGTAACCTCTACATCGCCTGCAGCATAGAGCTGGCTCCATATGTCACTCGCTGCGGGTGGGGTAGCGGAGGAAAGACACGACTTGCCCGGTCAAAGGTGCCAAGATTTTGTGTGTGAGAGAGAGGGGCGGGCTGGCTGCGGGCAGAGTGTGATACACGCAGCCTCGGGAAGGGTGGGCCTGGCTGGATATTTCAGCCAGACACTCGCCACCTCTCTGTATGCGCAGATCCACAGAGATCTAGAGCCCGAGGGGGGCAGCGGCCTCTACTCCACCACCTTCCTTGGGGTGCGGGAGAAGCAGGTCTGCACGCTTAGTTGCCAGAGATTTGGGGGAACCAGTTCTCTAGGACAGCTGGCAGGGATCAATGCACCCGGTCGTCTGCAGCCAGCAGGCTCTCAATGAGATCGGCTCTCTTCTACCCGTGCCTGCGTGGCAGCGGCCATTTTGCGCACGGACTGGTGTGGGCTCCGTACTGCGCCGGCGCAAGCGATGCGGGCGGAAGCAGGGCTGCCTGGAGGGGGAATCTGGGGACAGTGAGGGCGGAAGCGGTTCCGCTGTGAGCTGAGGCTGCTCCGCCAGCGGGTAGAGGGGCGGTTTCCGCGTCAGCAGCAGGCTCGTCCGCGGAGGTAAACAGCAGCCCCCGCCCATAGTGTAAGAGAGCGAGGTGGCGGCTGGGTGGCGCGGGCCTGTCCGCTCGTGAGTGAGCCTGGCCGGGGGTGGGTGGGACGGGACGGGACTCCGTTGCTGTGAGCTTGGCCTGACGGTCGCGCTGGGTTTCTTGGCCTTTGAGGGCGCTGTGAAGTGCGGCCCTCCTGCCTTGGCTCGCGGGGTGGGCTAAGTCCTGGCTCCCAAGCTGGGGACCAGAGAGGGAGGGACGGGGTCGGGAGCGCGTTGGGAGAGGGGTCTCCGGGGTCTAGACAAAGCTGCGCCCCGCTGTTGTAGCAGTGGCAGGCGGCCCGCAGCCCCTCGCGTTCCCCAAGCAGCTGGTGATGCACGAGCAGGAGGCGCCCTAACTCTCCCAGTAGCTCTCCGCGTTCGTGTGTGTATTATATGCAATACGCCACCAAACGTGATAGTGATGCTACCAAGTGCAGGACAGACTCACCCAGCTCTTGACTTGGCAGATTTACAAGATCTTTAAAATTGTCTAGGTTACTAGTCCCAGTTCTTTAAATATTCAGGGTCCCTGCTTAGCAGAGTAATCTAATACAAGAATTATTGTACCGGGATTGTACATACTTGTAAAAAGACATAGTTATTCATAATTGCTCTGAGCACTTTCTTTGGCCAACTGCTTCCTTGTAATGCCCAAACAAGAGATTGCGTTATCCAACGTTGTTAAAGTGACAGTTTGTTCAGACACTTGATCACCATGGTTGTCAATGTGCTGCCATATTGAGGACGGGGTTCAGAACAGGAAAGAGAGCTCTCTAGATATAGTCTAATATCTTCCTCTAGTTCATCTTATTTTGAAGCCTCTAAAATCTTCCCTCTTGCAAATGTTACTAGGTGCATTATGCCTTGGGGAAAAATACAATGAGGCATTTGCTGTCCACAGAAAGATTCTCCTCTCTTCCACACGCCAGGAGAAAGTTGACTAATTATCTAGGCCCACAATCTGTTCTTTTGCCTCTCTCCACCTCTACTCCAGAAAGATCTGGAAAAATAGAACAGCCACACACCATGGCTCTAAACAGTAATTGACTTTAGAACTGTCTGGAAGAAACAAATTCTGATGTCAAGGGGCCTGTGCTGCATATTCTGTTCTGTTAGACCCCGGACAGTTCACTCTAAGGACCGTTAGAATGATTATTATTATTTGTATTACTGAATTGCTTAGGAGCCCTAGTCATGGACCAGGAGCCACTGTGCTAGGCACTGTACACATAGAAAAATGAAAAGACGGTCTCTCATGTAGTCAGGATCCTCTCCATAAAAGAGCTTTCTAAATCAGTGATGCACCCTACCCAGAAGTCAGGACAGTCTTCAGAAGAATCTCTTTCTGCTGATGCTATAGGAAGGCAGTCTTCCAGTCTCCAAATGTAGGTTCAAGTAGCAGGCATTGGAATAATCAAGTATGGATATCAAAAAGGCATGGATAATTGTGCCACAGGCCACATCAGACAAACTATTGCCTTACCAGACATAGGTGAAAAAAGGCACTTCTAACTACTGATGTCTCCTAAAAGTATGTTGCTGTATGTAAACACCAATCAGATTGCAAACTGCCTTGATTATGGTTGAGCATTCTTTGTGGTTGAGCATCCAGCCCTCTGTTAAAGGGAAAGTCACTGTGAAGAGTGGAAGACCTCTTGGTGCTGAGGAGGCTTTATGGCCTACCACCTTAAACAGTTTCTCTTGTACTATACACCTCTACCCCGCTATAACGCGATCCGATATAACACGGGTTCCCGTATAGCGAGGTAGCAGCGGGGCTCCAGCGGTGCTTTAAGGGGTCCGGGGCTCCGGCTGCTGCGGGGAGCCTTGGGCCCTTTAAATCACCGCTGGAGCCCTGCTGCCCCTACCGCGGAGCTGTGGCAGCAGGGCTCGGCCAGCGATTTAAAGGTCCCAGGCTCCCCACAGTGGCTGGAGCCCAGAGCTCTTTAAATCACCGCCGGAGCCCTGCTGCACCTACCCCGATATAACGGGGTTTCAGCTTTAATGCGGTAGGGATTTTTGGCTCCCTACGACCACGTTATAGCGGGGTAGAGGTGTAGTAAGGGCTTGCTGTTGTGAGCCTTCCTGTGCAATCTCCCGTTTCTTCAGTGTGAGCTAAGCCTGTAAAGGAGCTGTAGAATAGTGCCCTACAGTGGTGAGTTCAGAGTTTCAAAAAGTACGTAAGTACATATCAATATATCTGTAACAGGTCTAGGATCTCCAACAAGTCTCTCTCCCCCACCCCCTTAAAATTACTTATAGAGCTTTGCAAATTCATTTCATAAAAGAAAAATGTAGCTCACATGCACTTTATAGACCCAAGTGGAGCATCAAATGCCCTAGAGAAAGAGGAGCACCCCAGTTACCCTCATGTAACTATTTTCTTCCAATCTTTAGGTTTCTAATAAATAGAATCGCAAACAGTACTTGAGAGAAATGACCCACTGGTTTCATCGCAACCCTTTAAAGGCTACAGCTCCTGTCACATTCAATTTCTATGGGGTAGCCAGCAGTCCTGCTGCAACAAAGATTTGCAAGTAAGTGTGTTTCAGACTAACACTAACTTCTTTTCCAGTGTTCAGGGTGTACCATGGACATCTTTTTAGTATTGTTTGAAGAGACTAGAGATTTGTAGGCTGGGAGACAATAAAGCACTGATAGCATTTTCAGCGTCCAGTTCTAGAGAATGATTAATCTAATCTTACAAATCTGATGCTACATAGCAAAACCTATTGTAACAAAACAGAGGCTAAAAGGACTAGACGTTCCATCACTTTTTTGCTGTGTGTGTGTATCCTATTGTGGAAGGATTAGTGTAAGTAATGTACATAAATTAATAAACCAAAAGTGTTCTATTGTGGAGATAAGAGTGGCTCTGAAAAAGCATTTAAGTCAAGCTTATAAATACAGAGACATGATTACAATTCCGTCTATTCACGTAGTGTAAAATCCCAGTTCTGATATTGCTCCTGCCATGTTAACTTCTCTGGAGAGGATGAACAGCAGTCCCGATGCATTCTAGTATACAAACACATGGCTTCATGTACAAAAGCATGAGAATCAATTACACAGTGTGTGCATATATCTTCGATTAAGAGACTTTGAGTCAGGGCTCCTGGGTTTTATCCTTAACTTCTGTCACATACTTGCCCGAGGCCACACAGCAAGATACTTACCTTCTTTGCCTTCGTTTATGGATCTGAAATGAGTACAACACTGTTCTATTTCATGTGTATTGTGAGGCTTAATTCATGTCAGTGATGTAATTTGAGATCATTGCATAAACGCAATTATAAAAAGTTACTATTGGAACACGCTATTACGGATTTTCTTCTAATTATAATGTACTCTAGTAGTGCACCACTGATGCAGTGATCTACCTCTGAAGTTTTGGGTGGATAACAAATATTTCTGTTAGTTGGGTTAAAATTTGGGTTAAAAAGCAGTTAAAATTGTTCATTTACTGACATTGATAACTACTACATATGTGTCCAAAATGAGCCATACTTTAAACTGAAAATACCAATGCTGAAGTGAATGTTGGGTCCTATAAGAGATCAAAAGACTTGTTAAATCTGATCCCTCCCTGAGAAGTGTTTGATATGTCTTTTTTCCAGTGGCTATCTCAGATATTAAATTAATACTGCACTTAGCTAGAAGGATAAGAAATAGTGTGAGGGTGTATAAAAGGATCACCTTTTGTATAATTTTTTTTTTTTTTTTTTAACACAGTGACTTAAGATCATCCAGGGTACGACTCTTGGAACTGTTTACTGATTTGAGTTGTAATCCAGAAATGATGAAGAATGCAACTGATTTGTACTTTTCACTCTTGCAAGGTAAGAACTTTGCAAGCTGCAAATAAAAGGTTTTGTATAATAATCTTAGGTTTAATAAAACTCATAATAATTTTGTTATACCAATTTATGTAGGGGCATTATCTGGTCACCAGGAAATATGGTGTCTCCTGTTCCTGTCACCCATTATAGCCTTAGAAGCCTCAGTCAGCATCCTGGCAGTACTCGGAGCATGGACAGTCCTTTGCTCTCTGCCTTTTAACCAAGTGTTCCAGGTTAGGTATCTCAGCCACCTTCTGCTTTCTGGGGAGGAGAGAAGTTGATTTTCCTTGTCTCTGAGAATAGACTGCGTTACTCCTAAAAACAGATCTATGAATTCTCTCAGAATGGAGAGGATACCAAATCAAAAGTGTAAAATAGTCTCAGGTCTAACATTAGGTAATAGTTTAGCTAAATAAAGCAGTCTTGCAACTACAGTTATCCAGGTGCTGATATGGCTTTCATCACTTTGGTATCTGAGTTTTCAGTAGATATTCACTTACATTTTATGGCTCAGATGTCTGTCATGCTTCCTCAGGCTCTTTCTTGCCTCTCAGCATGACAAGAGCTCAGTAACCCACTCTGAGTCAGCATTTTCCCTGTGTCCAAATTGCTCTACAGGCCAGTCAAGTAACATCCTTGAATTCTGTGCAATGGGCAGAGCTGAGCTTAAATGAAACACGTTACTTATGGATTTCTAGGCTAGATTGGCCTATGGACAATTACCCTTTTTTTGCAGCTGTCTTCATTTGAAATCTGCCCCCCTTCCAGCTCTATTGTACCTTATAAGTTTATTCAATATTATATGAACCTCTGCTTCCTTGTCCATCTCCATTCAGTTCTTTCCTACATTGATTTGAAACAGTTTTGAAATTACATACATAATAGCTTGCCTTTTCCACAAACAGTGATTTGCTGTCTGTCGTGATGATTCATTAGTATGCTTATAGCCTTCTGTGTCCCAGCCTGACGTGTGAATCTTTCAAATCAAGTTAACTTTGGCTTAAATGACAATTGCTTATTCTCTCTATCAGCCTTACCCTCCCCCCCCCCCCCCCCCCCCGTGTGTTTAATCACTCATTTAAAAAAAATATTATTATCTATAGTAAATATTCCTCTGTGTCACACAAGGGTCTTGAGACTGCAGACAAATCAGGTTCCCCAGATAGAGGAGAGGGTACTGTCCAAGCTGTTGCAGAGAAGACAGGAGGAGGATGCCTTCAATAAAGAGGAATCCATACCCATTCACTGGGGCTTGTCTTCACAGTTAGTTTGAGTTAGTTCACTTGGTTTATTCCACTCAAGTTAGCCTACCCTGAGTGAGCGTGAAAACAGCACTCAAGCTACCTAGAGTGATTGGGTTCGCATCCGAGTTGTTGCTTCCCCACTACATTACTAATGTGAACAAGTGTTGGCAGTACTGAAGCTTCAACCACTCCCCTGACAGGCCAACTAACTCAAGCTTAAAGCACCGTCTAAGAGATTTGTGTATGTGGACAGGAATCAGGTTAGGGGCAAAATTCAAATTATAAATTGAGCTAACACTGCAGTGAAGACGAGGCCTAAAACCTTTTCTGCGTCAAATACATTTTTCAAATATTTCCTACCAGTATTAAGAACCTTACTGTAGATGATGACTCTCTCAAGCACCATGTTGATTGGACCTCTCCTGAGTATAGTTAGATGACAAGGTGTTTAAACTACCAGCAGTCCATTTACACCAGGAGCTGGGGCCGAATCATGCTTCGCAACAGTGAAATCTTCAGCAGAGGCTCACAGGGCTGAGGCAATAGCTTGTCTGAGCAGGGAGTGTCTGATAAGACCAGTTGGTCTTGTCTGTTGTAAATCTTGTTCTCTGAACATTCTGAAGAACAAAAGCTTTAAGGAGTAACATGAATGCCTGAGAGACTTTTTGCTGTTCTACCTGCCTACATCTCTACTTGCATCTTTACATTGCTGCCTTCTAATGTTTAAATTGCCTGTTGGCATGTTTTTGTTTTTTTTTTTTTTTTTTTGGACAGGCTTTATAGTCTCACTGGATAACTCTTCTCAAGACTGCAAGTTGCGATATATTCAGAATTTTAAGTGGACAGACACATTACAAGGACAAGTTCCAAGGTATATGTTCTATGGAGTCTGCAATGTCTGTGACCAGGTTCTTTAGATTATAGTATAGATCTGCCACTATAGTAAATGTTGCACCATGCTGATCATTAAGTAGTTTCCAAGAGGCTGATTACATTAGTGTTCTAATAATTGCCTTGCTCTTCTGCTTTATAGCTATTACAGTGTTGTTCTGGAGATGCCAAAGTGCCTCTCTTTCATTTAGTTGAGGTTAAGACACTACATTGAAATGGTGGATCCAGTCTGTTGGGGCTTTCTACAACCTCTATTTACAACTGAAGACAGAATAACTATTATAGTGCAAAATGGGAAATAACCATATAATAATATAAAATAAGAATTAGAATGTATATAATTGTAGTGGTTTCTGGTGCTGGAAATCTGAAATTAAGTCTTACTTTCTGGTGATATCCTCCCTCCCCTATTGTGTCTCACCTGAAATGTAGACAAAACTGTTCTGGTCAGGGTCTTTCTCTCTCTCCCTGTCTTCTGAAGCATATAGCACTCTTTTGGGTGTTGTAGATAAACTGTAAACAGAGACTTTAATAGGAATATGTTTTTTCTGTGTTTTCCTATTGCCACATCCTTAAACCAAGCTGAATAAGTTACCCTTTAAGTGGGATGAACTTATCATAAGAGCATTTTAACATCTATGCAACTTTCTATTCTTACATTATATTCTCTTATTTGTAGTTAGTAACTGCATGCTGTAGAAAGCACTTCCAAATAGCTGCCAAGTTAACAGGTCTAAGACTACATCTTTTTGTTTATTTAAACTAGTTATCCCAGACCTAGGTTTTCCACAAAACAAGCATTTTAAAAATAAATGAAAGAGAAATGTTAACCTCACTGAAAACTCAATAAAGTATGTTACCCTGTTAATATAAAAATTCTACTAAACTCTCTTCCCAACCCCAGAAAAAATCCATGTGAAAGGCACATATTTGAACACCCTGTGGGATTTGTTCACCTGACTTCTTGGGGGATAAGCAAAAGATTAAATCATTATTAGAAAATCCAAGAAATAGAAAAGCTATAAATTGGACGTTTCTGACATTTTAAATGAAAACCAAACCTACTTTATGCAGGTAGCTGCCATTTGTTATGTTGCAGAAGTACAAATTAGAGAACTTGTCTAAACAAATTGGAAAGCATGAAATTGCTTGTTTTGCCTTTTTTTATATATATATATATATTTGTTTATTTTTAGTGCCCAGCAGGATGCTGTGTTCGAACTGGTTTCCATGGGATTTAACGTGGCTCTCTGGTACACAAAATATGCATCGAGACTGGCCGGGAAAGAAGAGTAAGTGTTTTTTCCTCCTTTAGCAACTCTATTGCAATAATATCCCAACAAAAAGGAAATCTTCAGTTAAAGCAGACTTCATTCACGTGCTTTAACATTCAGATGCACTCTGGCTCCTTGCCTCCCCAAGAAACTTCCTTGCACTTGCAAAATGTAACCAACCACAATGCACACACCAAATTTCTCTACATCACACTCAGATGTACAATTTAAACTTCAGCCATACCTAGATCTAACATTTTTATAAACCTATTCTCCACTGAAATCTAAAATATTTTATTTCTGCATAGATAAGTGTCACATTGGCGTGGAGGCTAGTTTCCCCCATGCTCACAAGCTCCTCCAACACCTCTTGTTGCCAAGTCTGCCTCCCTGGCTCCCCAAGGTCTGTTGACTGGGCAGAGCTGAACATAAGGGAATTGGGCTAGCAGCATCGATGAACAAAAGTAACTGGCAGAACTTGACAATTTATCGGCTTTTCTTTACAGAGGTAAAATAAGTTATAGCAAACAAAGGAAATAACTTTTTGCAACTCAAGATTGAAAAGTAGCCTGGCTGAGACCAGGGGCGGCTCTGTTTTTTGCCGCCCCAAGCACGGCAGTCAGGCAGCCTTTGGTCCGCTGGTTACACAGATTCGGCGGCATTTCTGCGGGTGATCTGCCGGTCACACGCGTACCTGCCACCGAATTGCCACCGAAGCTGCAGGACTGGCGGACCTCCCGCAGGCATGCCACAGAAGGCTGCCTGACTGCTGCCCTCACGGCGGCTAGCACGCTGCCCCCCGCGGCTTGCTGCCCCAGGCACGCGCTTGCTGCACTGGTGCCTGGAGCTGTCCCTGGCTGAGACGTTCTCTAAATGAATGTGTGTGGGAAGTTTCTAGTTACTGTGGCTCTTCACTTGGAGAAGCCTGAAAAACATTAATGTGAAGGGAAATCTTAGCGTTTTGTATGCAAACTATTAAATATTGGACTGAAAATATAGAAAATTCAGTTCTCCTACAATGAGCGTGTTTAATGACTGGATTTAGTTTTGAAATTTAAGTGTGAAATAGAGGGATTGTAATTCTGGTTTAAGTGCAGATATAAACACAGCCACTACAGTGTCCTCATAAGTAGCATTTTGCTGAGGAAAAAGTACAGCCAAGCAATGCTGATAAAGGTCAGGCAATAAAACTAAGAATAGTGAACAAGTAGAACTACTCTACAAGAGTAATGTATGGACAAAATCCCAGGTCTTTGGGCTTTTAGATATAAGGCGATTAACCAATGTGTGAGTAGTCAGTTTTGTAAGATTATGAGCTGGTACATAACTCAGCTGTATAATATTAACTTGAATGCAGAATTACATATTTCATTAACAATCTTTCAGTATAACAGAAGATGAAGCAAAAGATGTTCACAGAAGCTTGAAGATAGCAGCTGGGATTTTTAAACATTTGAAGGTAGAAAACATACCTTTATTCCTATTTCTTAAGTTGTAAGTTTCTCTGTACAGAGACTTTGTCTACTCCTTGTCCTGTACAACACTCAGTGAATTGTCAGTGCATTACAAAAGACTTTTAAAAGACTTTTTTGGTTCATATGCAGAGGATTTATGCAGTCATAGTGGAGCTTTTGAATGCTGCGGAAAATAATGTACCATCAATGAGTCACGCTACTAGTCAGTTGCTATGGCTGGCCGTTAATCAAGGTAGAAAGGCAATGGCAATAGTGTATTATAGTGACATGGCCAGCCATCTCCTTGACTCCTTCACTTGTAATTTATACCCATTTAGTAATAGAAAATGTATCTTGGAAAAAACCCTGACATTTAGTAGTGGTGTCTTAGATTTGAACTAACCTTGAAACGGACTGTCTCTCTACCCTTAGGACAGCCATATCCCCAAACTGATTACACCTGTAGAAAAGGGAAGGGATTTGGAAGCTCGACTTATAGACTCCTACATCATCCAATGCCAAGCTGAAGCTCAAGAAGGTAAAAATATAATGGGGGTATTTATCTGTGGATTTCTTTTGTGGTTCATAATGTCTCCTGGATAGTGACAGCCAGTGTTCTCCCAAAGTACTGTGGTTTGGGGTTGATTGCATAACCAGAATCAAACTCTTCACTTTCGTTAAACAAATGGCAATAAAACATTACAAATATTTGTTGATCAGTTTTAGAGACGTTCTCTAGGAGATTCTCGTTTCCACCCTTCTCAGGCACCCTTGCTTAATGCAATATGAAAACGTCTAATAAACTAAAGGTCCAAATATCTTGAAATAAAAAAATTGAAAACTAATCTCACTGCAGCGTACCATTGCCCATTTTGTCAAGTTTTCTTTTGTACTCATTTCGAGCTATTCTATTCCGACAGTAGTTATGCCTTAATTTTGTCTATAAGGCTTGCATCAATTGTCAGAGCACACCGTTATTTCTGTGCTAATAGAACTCAAGTATTCAAACTGCTAAATCCCTAATTAGGTTTGATGTGACTGTCTGCAATTACATTTTATTAATGGTTTTAGTGACAATTGCCCGAGCTATTGAGCTGAAACACAATCCTGGTCTGATAGCTGCTCTAGCCTATGAAACAGCCAATTTCTACCAAAAAGCTGGTAAGTTAAATTACAATGTCATTTGAGTCCTTAGTGATTTAGTTTGCATGTCTTGCAGAAAAACAAACAAACAAACCACTAACATTGCAATCAAGAGTGGTAACCCTGCTGCAGTTTCTCTGTGGACAGCGTTAACAGCATGTCTGTGCTTCCAGTCAGTAATTTGAAATCATGTTCTAACAGACAATCATCAAGTGTCACTTCTCAATATAACAGATTTATAGTGGGTGGGTCTAGAGGCAGTGTCCTACTAGCTCTGTGGGTAATTTTGTTCTGGTTCTGTTCTTCAGCTAGCTAGGATAGTAAGTTAGTAGACAAGGGGGTGGATGGAGGTTAAAGGATTGTTTTGAGATGTTCAACAGCAGCTCCTCAGGGCAGGGCTGACTATTTCCGAGGAAAAATTAGTTTCTGATAGGGCACTGGTAAATACTGGTTTAAATTGGGAAAAATAAAATTAGTATTAGAATATACTAATGAAAATTACTGAAAAATATTTAAAAGTTTTATAATAGTTTTGCAGTAATATGGTCTGTTTAATTTTAATTAAAGGAAGTAGAGAAAAGCTTCAACCTAAAGCTGTATTCTTTTGCCTTGGCTACCTCAAACAGAAACTGAAACTTTTGAATCTGGGAATTCCTAGTCTTTGTTTAGCAATGAAATTACATGTTTGTTTAGCAAACAAAAGGGAATTCCCAGATTTTTTTTAAAAATGGGTTTTTTAGTTGTTTTTGAACTTGATGCTTTCATGCAGCTTAAGTTTCTTTGCAGCTGCAGGTATAATTGGTGCACTTCATTGAGATTATAGCTATTTCATACTTATGATCTATAGATACACTTAACTAGACCAGAGTGCTGCTTTGAATGTTTTTTTTTTAATTATTTAAAAAAAAAATTGTTTATGTAATTCTAGATCAAATGTTATCCAGTTTGGATCCAGCGTACACTATTAAATGGAGAAAGTACTTACAGTTGAAGGCATGTTTCTATATGGCTTATGTGAGTACTCTGTAACCAATCAGTGAACATTTAAAAAGGGTTTCTAAAGGTTATCTAGGAGTTAGATGGGGAATGGGAGTCAATTATCATTTGTCCTTGTCACCACATAACAAAATGAGATATTGCAGTCCCTGTAGTACTTAAAAATACACTGTTCTAGAATAAGATGCAATTTGTGTCCTGTAGAATTTAGTGTAGTTACTCACCTCCACAAGTGGGGCAGGTCAGTTTGAGCATTTAATACTTGTGCTCTATTCTCTGCACTGATTCCCAATCTACTTCCAGGTGTAATTCAGTTGATCACATCTCTGAATTTATGGATGAGATAGGACCTGATAGTATCAGTTGCCACCCCCAAGCCTTCTTGTAGGATGCGTGTTCTGCTAGAGCCTGGTTGATCTCCTGGCATAACATTCTCCATCAACGATCAGCAGCTCTGTAATTAGTTGCTGCTTGCGGTCAGACCATATTTTAGTTTTAAAAAGAAAAATACTTTGACTTTCTCTTAGTTTGGGTCTGTAGCCAGAGGCTGTTTATCTCGTGAATGGGTGAGAAAATTAAGGCTGGGCTGGGTTTGATTTGTGCTATTTGTTAAGACCATCTGTGTGTAATTCTTGTAATATGGACAATGATGGAATAAGGTAATGCTGTCGGATTTGGTTTCACAGTACAGCAGGGAATATATATGTTGCATCTTGAGAATATTTATATTGGGCCTAATCTAAGTGGAGTGGGCTTTTATAAATGAAAGGGAGCATTTGATATTGCACTCCAGTAGGAACCCTATTTGAGCATAAGAGCCCAAAATAGTCTTATGAAAGGGAGAAAATGGGAGTGTGGTGAAGTCCCACTTAGACCTTGCCATAACAATTCAGAAAAGCTGGAATGTTTGTTGCCTTTCTGAATTGAGTGAAGTTTTTTCATATATTTAAAAAACCTAAACACTCATGGTACCTGATTCTCACCATGAAAACAACTGGGTTTCTTCTCTGCTGAAGGGACTTGTGCACCAGTTAGTGCTGCTTCCTGTTACTTCCCTGGACCCCCTGCTGGTTGACTGTGCAACTGACAGCAGCCTCAGAGAGCTGCAGATCTTGCCATTTTGGATTGTGTTCAGCTGTACACGATCCCCATCCAGTGAGGAGGAAATATAGCAAAACTGATGTGTTGACAGGAAATGTGCGATTGATGCCTGTACCTATATCATTCTCTCTCATCAGTCATACTGCTACCATGGTCAAACTCTGCTGGCCAGCGATAAATGTGGAGAAGCAATCAGATCTCTGCAGGAATCAGAAAAATGTAAGTATGGTTGCCACATTCTCAAATCCCTCATGGAACATCTGCTGTTGTACTGTTTAGAGAATATTTAAAAATCTTTAGTTTTCATACTTCAGAGTAGCTCACAAAATATCCAAATATTTGTATTAAAGCCAAACAAACACATTATCAAGGTTGTATTAGAGTAGGCAATCAATGCATACTAGCTCTCTAGAAGACCTTTAGAGTCCTTAGTGTGTCCAGAGTCCACAAATGTGTGATACAAAGAAAATACGCAACAAGGAGACCAATGTCCACTTAATCTGCTACACCCCTATTTTGGGAGGAGGATATAAACACTGTGGTAAGTCATGTTCCTGATGGATTGGCTGCACATTGTACTGAAGCAGAATTAGGCACGTTCTTACTAAACCTGTAGGTGTTACAAGTGCTGGGCTACTAGATGTTGCTTAGTGAGGCTGAAGACAGTTTGTTTTCCACATTCTAAAACTCTTCCATCTCCAACTGCTGTGGTTCGGTGATAGAACAAATGGGTCTATTTAATATTACATGAGTTACTTGTGATAAAGGATAAAGTAGAGATATGAATACCCATATTGAAAGGTACAGTACTTGGGTTCTAGTGAGTTCAAGAGCAGTTTAAATGTATTTCTTTGCACTTATTTGATCCTACTTCTAATGTTGTCTTCTGTGAACCTGTGGCTCTCTTCTTGATGGTGTTGTAAACTTGTATTAGAATTTCTGACTCAAAAATCTGGGTGTAGAAAACTTACTTTCTTTAGTTCAGACTTACCTAATATTACAGGTTCTGCACCCTCATTTTGGCCTGGGCAGACTGAGTGTGCATGGTGGTATTGAATGTCTTAATAAGATGCAGTTAAAGACTGGAGTTCCTGTGAGAGGGAGTTCTGTCAGTTTGGGGAAGGAGAGGGATCTGCAGGAAGACTCCGACAGGGGATCCAGAGAGGAAAGAGATCTTTAGAGGACCAGGATCACAGAGGACTGTGGAATGAACTGTCCATGCTAGCCAGGTAAAAAGGCCTGGATGGAGCAACCTGCACTGGGGGGCAGAAGCCTTAAGAGGGAAGGGACTTGAGGAAATGCCAGGCAGCAGGACCTGGGTTTGAAACAAACTCTGAGCCCATTAAAGGTCTGAAGAACTTTGGTGTTGGGAAGACTTGTTTTAAGTTGACATTTGTATTCTGATCTTTTAATAAACCTGACCTCAAAAAGGGATGTTGTGTGACTTGCATGACAGTCTGGGTGCAGTTATTGGAAAGCCCAAGAAAGGGAAACAGAGGCAGGGTCCAACTCCTTGTTACATCTGGTAATGCAATATTCCATTTTATTATAATGCACTTTGTCCCATTAGCCTAAAAACACCAGATAAATGGAAGCTTTTGGCAGGCTTTAAAAAAGTGGGTCTTAAAGATGGCACCATCAGGAGCTCTTTAATTACCTGAAAATCATAAGGGAATCATACAGAAAGTGGAAGCATGGCTTAATTGCTAAGGAAGAGTAACAAAAGAATAGCACAAGCATGTAGGGACAAAATCAGAAAGGTGAAAGAACAAAATGAGTTACACCTAGCAAGGGACATAAAAGGCATTAAGAAGAGGTTCTTTAAATACATTAGGAGCAAGAGAAAGATGAAGGAAAGTACTTAACGTTGTAGTTATGTTCCTGAAAAATGTGACTTTAAGTGAAACGATGTTAAGCGAATCCAATTTTCCCATAAGAATTAATGTAAATGGGGGCGGGGGGGGTTAGGTTCCATGGAATTTTTTTTTTGCCAGACAAAAGGCATTATATACATTTTAAACAATTTTTAAACAAGCAATTTAATACTACGCTGGGGGAGAGTAGTGTGCACGTGCTGTGTGTTTACCAACATACTGTACATACAATACAATACTATAGTTGGGAGGTGCCCCTGCCTTACCCTACACAGGCACAGCCCACTGGCACTGAAGATGAGGCAGGCAAGGAGGCTGAAGGTGCTGTAGGCTAGGAGAAGCACATTGCGCAGCAGCGGCAGCTTCCCCTACTCTGCAAGCACCAGGGGCGGGGGGGTGGGGGTGGAGGGGAGGCTCAACCCTCAGCCCGCTCACTCCCCCCTTCCCCCAAACTCCCATCCTTGACCTGCCTCTTCTCCCCCCCACCTCCTCCCCCTTTACTTCCCATGCTGAGTCCTCGCTCCTCCCCTCCCCTTCTAAACGCCGCAAGCCAGTTGATTGCCTCCTGCCAGGGGAAGGAGGGGGAACCTGCACACCGAGTCCTCGCTCCTCCCCCCTCCCTCCTGCCCCTGGGGGAGAAGAGGCAGGTCAAGGATGGGGGTTTGAGGGAAGGGGGGAGTGGGCGGGCTGAGACTTGAGCCCCGCCCCTGGTGCTTGCAGAGGAGGGGGAAGGCGCTGATCCGCAAGGTCTACCAGTGGGCGGGGAGCGCTGTGTGTGTGTGGGGTGTAGGGAGGCTGCCAGCTGTGGAGAAAGCAGGCAGCCGAACAACGTAAGAGTGGAGCATTGCACAACTTTAAATGAGCATGTTCCCTAATTGATCAGCAACGTAACAACAAAACAACATTAACCGGGACGACTTAAACTGAGGAGTTACTGTATAGGTCCTCTACTTGGTGGGGAAAAAGAGCTAATAACTGATGACATCAAGAAGGCTGAGGTGTTTAATACCTATTTTGCTTTAGTCTTCACTAAAAAGGTTAATGGTGACCGGATC